CCAGCCATAAATTATGAACGGTCCCTTACTACCGGTAATTCTAAACGCGAAATACCAAAAGACGTTAAAATATGGTACTTGTTGGTCCCTGCCTGGCGCTCGGCATTTATGGGGACAACAAGGACTGGTCGGCTCGGAGTCAGTATAATGTGTCTGATTTGGGTATTCATGCTTCACTGCGGCATGGTATCTCAGTGGGCTAGCACTATAAAACCAGCTTCAGTCTGGGCTAGTACAAGCAGACGCACATACACATACACACGCATGCACGTCGTCATATGAGCGAAAATATTCTCAAGCACGACGTAAAACCCAATTTCACCTCACTTCTAAATGCGAAAGTGGCGATTTATGGGATCGGGTGGTCAGGCTCGCTGACTTGGTTTACACATGTCGCCAAATCCCAAGTAGGTCAATGCTCATGCTCCTGATCATTAGATTCTCTGGTCTAGACTTGATTATGTACAGATCATATGGCTGGAATATTTTCGTGCGCGCCAAATAACAAATGATACCAAATGCAAATGCTACTGAAAGAAGGGTTAATCTTCTTTAATCCTTTCTTAAATTTTTGTGTTTAAAGGGTAAGTATGCCCGAAAATTATCTTCAGTAACCCATGCTTGTCGTAAGAGGCGACTAACGGTATCGGGTGGTAAGGCTCGCTGACTTGGTTTACATGTCATCGATTCCCAATTGCGCAGATCGATTGCTGTTGATCACTGGATTGTCTGGTCCAGACTCGATTATTTACAGACTGATGCTATATATCTGGAATATTGCTGAGTGCGGCGTACAACTGCACTCACTCACTCACTCACTCACTCATATTGAGGGTTATACTTTCATTGTAATAAAAATGAGTGTATAGTGTCAAGCATTGATATTATTATCCAAAATTTCATTTTGTTCAATATTTGAAGAACGTGATGTTTTCCCCTTTAACGTGTTATAATTTCCCTTTTTGATCTCTTCGAGAAGTTTTGATTTACTGTAAACGAATAAAAAAACTTACGTCTACCACGTACAAAGAGGTCCAGGTGGTATATAACGGGTATACACATGATAGATATATAAATACATCCCATGTGGTATATATCTCACAAAAGCTGTACCTATAATGTTTCCTGTTCTCATTGTTACCGCTGCCCCCTCTCACACTCACACACGCAGGTCAGATGTACACCATCCAGTGAAGACTCTCCCAAGAGTACTTCAGCTACTGGAAACCCCCGGGATTAAAGGAAACAGTAAGAAGCATATGTTTATATGTCTGTATTAGTTGTAACAGAAAGCAGTACGTGGCTACATCTTATTATAACCGTACCGTTAGCCGGTATATCTCTATATAAGATGTTTGTATTTGTCTCTGTGATACTCTAGTATTTTTACTGTCCATCGTCGACAGGTTTTCCTCTTCAAAATGTTTACTTTCATCTTTATTGTATAAAATGTTTTCGTCACGATATGGCTGAGACATTGCCGAAGTGACGTTAAACATTAACTCACTCACTCAATCTACAAAATGTAACAATTTGCAGTCGAATTATAAACTGTATAGTAGGCATCCCTCCGTATAGTTACGGCAATGACAATGACTGCGACAATGACAATGACTGTGACAATGACAATAACAATGACTGTGACAATGACAATAACAATGACTGTGACAATGACAATGACTGTGACAATGACAATAACAATGACTGTGACAATGACAATAACAATGACTGCGACAATGGCAATAACAATGACTGTGACAATGACAATAACAATGACTGTGACAATGACAATATTAATGACTGTGACAATGACAATGACTGTGACAATGACAATGACAATAACAATCACTGTGACAATGACAATGTGTTCTTACCCCTTGGGGAATTCTTTTTAAATTTGAAAGTCATCACATTATTAAATATTAGAAATGGCATAAAGGTTAAGAACACACAAAATAACACAATTGACAAACAAAGTTAACTGTCATTTAAATGGCGAATACTTGCTGGAATAAAATAATTTTGCATACTTTTTTGTTTTAAAACGGGGCATTTAGTATCGACGGCCTGAAGGGTAAAATATTATATTCAGGACATATAACGTGGCTGTAATCAGATAAAATAAATTCAACGAGAGGAAAGAATGTAAATCCGAAATACTTACTTGCAATTAATATGATTTTGTTAAGATAAGATTTGCGTTTGATATTAAGAGAGCCATACCAGCATTGAATTGAAAAAGGTTCAATTACTTTCAACAAAACAGCGATAAACACCAGCTTTTACTTATGTTAAAAGATCTCAGTTTGCACATAAACTATAATCTTTGCTGGCATTTCATAAGCATGTAGTAGTATTTATGAATATGGATGGTTTTAGTACTGCAACCTCCTTTTGTTTGCATTATCTTGTAAGACTTGTATCTTTAAACGGTCTTCCGAACCTGTAGTGCCATTGATTGCTATCAATCTAATTCCAATTATAAACCACCTTTGACCTTACCGGCTCACCATTCTCAACCGCATGCCCACTATCTAGTCTAGCCATTTGTCATTAATACATTCACAGCCGTTAACGTTGAGATGATGAAGGGGTATTATGACCTCCCGGCAACGCTTCACTTCACACATGGCTACCAGTCTCCAGTCACCTTAAGGGCATACCAAGGACAGGAGGTGCACGTGGTATGTATGTTTACCAAGGACAGGAGGCACATGCGGTATGTATTTTTACCTAGGACATAGGTCTATGTAAAATTGGTCATTTTACAATTATTGACCAAACAATATTCCAACAGCTGCAGCCTTTGGTGTTTACATCTGAGGTACAATCGAGCGTATTCTATTTATCGGGATTTCAAAGAGCGTCACACCTCTCTTGTTCAGAAGTTGTTTGATCAACATTCAAGGCTTTGGTAAAGCTTTCAAGAAGTCTTATGGTAGACATGTGGCGGGTTTGATGCATCAGTGACAAAAATATTCCGATGCATTTCCCTTTTTATGACTTATACCATACATTTCCGAATTATTTCAGATGAAAACCTGACTAGACTTAGTATGTATTTATGACGGTGCCACCGGGTAACAACACTGTTTCATAGTGATTCATAAACACATGCTCTGTCATATCGCATGGTGACAATCACTTGATTGTCTGGTCCAGACTCGATGTTTACAAACAGCATCGTACAGCTGTAATACTGCTGAAACAAATATATTCTCATGATAGAGTAACAATTGTACAATCGACTCTGCTTTTAGCGTGTCTTCTGGATGTGGAAAGGGTTTTGTCGCTTCTATCTATATCAGATGAAATGTCTAATTCTTGTCTTACTTTTTTGGAAAAAAGAATCCAGTTGTCTTTACGTTTGTCATATATAAGGGTACCTCCTATTGTTTGGGGTTGTTGGTTTATAGAAAAACACAATAAAAACCTTCTTCAGCAGTTCGTTTACTTGGTGATGATGCTATCAAACTGACTGCGTCGGTTTAGACAGGAGGACGACGTCTTCCAGTCAGTCAGTTCAAGGGCATCACAGACCAATCACTTCTACGAATGTGGAACAATGACGCTCGGACACATGTAAGTAGCTTGCTGTTGAATTGGACATGAATTGCAACACTACCAAGTACATTATTGTTACGTTTACTGTTTACTTTTGTAAAAGTAATTTACAAGTCATTTGGGATTATAATTTTATGCTGCGTAACTACAGTTTCTTCTTTCTGAGGGCTATTTTAATGCTTAAATAATTGTTTGATCAGATCAAACAGATTCACCTGCCATCTGTGGGGATCACAAACTATGGCCATCTGTCCTCCTATGGCTGGTACGTCTACAGACTGGCCCCCTTGGAGCTGTTCATCAACGGTGAACCCCTCACCCTGGCCAGGTGGCCGAACCACGTAAGACACGTACCTCAGACATTGAGTAATGGATCGGAAAGGGACAATTTAGTGAAAATGTAAAACCGATATCAACTAGGCGTGTTACAAACATGGACATGCTTATCCAGTCGGATGTGTTGTCACAGGCATATCAGTGAGTGAGTATTCTTTTACGCCGCTTTTAGAAATATTCGAGCAATATCACGGCGGGGGACATCGGGCCTTCACACATTGCAAACATGTGGGGAATAGAATCCAGGTCTTCGGCGTGACGAGCGGACGCTTTAACCACAAGGCTACCCCACCGCCCGAACAGGCACGTTAGGAACCTATGGTCTTAATGTTGTCAGGAAAACAAACACAACACAGGTTTACATGAGTTAAGCAATTAATCCGAAACGGACAATTTTTAAGTAATGTAAATATGAAGTCTAACAGCAATTATGTGTGTGACGAAAATTACGATATTTATCAAATTGAATGTATCTTCACAGTCACATGCTTTAAGGTTCTGATCAAAATGTTTTAGAAGATGTCCAAATGAGTCAAACCTTTGCGATCTTACGTGTGATATTTATACTTTTTAACGTTGATTTACTGCTGCAGGACTTCATAGATATCACGGCTGTGCCAGATGAGCATGGATACCAGTTCTCATACGAACACGAACCGTGACTCGAGGTGGACAAATGAAAAAGAACCATGGGCATATGGATTCTGGTGAGTCTTTCTCACCCTGGAATGTAAACGACCTTTCCACTTCAAGATAAGCACTTAACAAAAATACCACATTTGCTCACGAACTGTTTTAATGGTCACATTCATGTGAGGCTTATAATTACGTCCCACTGCCTGATCGTGAGGTGTTTGTTTTAAACCGCCTTTCCTATCGCAGGACTGTTTCTGCCTTAATGCCTTCATTAACAAATAATAGTAAACCCATAATTCATTTAATTTCTATCACAACAGATCCAACGTCATATGTGCTTAACATTTGAATAAGCTCATACCATAATTCCTGCCCTTCTTGATTTCTACATATCGACTGACAAATGTCTATGAGTCCCAGTGTCTAATGCTTCTCTAGGTACTGGAGCTGGGCGGACCTGTCGTTGAAGATACGTACAATAGATGCCGTAAACCACACCATCGCTCTTGCTGCTAAGGATCGCCATGGCATGCGGCCTGGTTAGTTTCAGTGAGTGAGTGAGTTAAAATGTACCTTCACGTCGGCAATATGGTGTGTGGGGTTGGGGTGGGGGAGGAGGTGTGTCTGTGTGTTCTGATATTTGCCAGAGAGAGTATGAATTGTCCACTTTTCTACGCAGATGCCGGTTACAATCAAATACGTTCTAAGAGTTATGTTGAATTCAAATGGTTTCACTTGAATAATATACATGTGTAATACGTATGACGTATGTGTGCCGTCTTCTCATTTTACATTAATATTGTAACAAAGGTTTCTTTTTGTGCGTTTGATTTCGTGTTTTCCCGGAAGTTATTGGCTACCAGTGTGGTTGAAGTCAAGTTGAACCTATAAACCAGGCATGTCACTGGGGCCCTGGTGACCTCGTCGTCCACGGCGACGTAAATCGCCGGGACGAGCTGCGACCACTGGGCACGCCAGAAACATGTGATCATGGGTCCCATCCGGGTTCGCTTTGTTTAGATTGAGTTTTTGTGCTTGTACGTTTCACCAAAATGGCAAACATCTAAGATTTGTATCGCTTCAGGCTTTTTACAACATTAAACTGACACTCGCAATATAACTGAAATTATACTGTTCAAAGCGGTGTCTGGACGCTATATGGGTGGAACATTGCCGATGCGGAATTAATGTTTAACTCACTCACTGCTTGCAGTAATTGTAAAAGTTAGGGGACCGAATGCACGTAATGAAAATGGAGTAAAATAACATTATTGCTGTGTGTATGTTTGGTTGGTTTACTTGTTGTTTAACGCCGCACTCAGCAATATATTCCAGCTATGTGGCGGCGGTCTGTATGTAATTTAGTCTGAACCAGACAATCCAGTGATCAACAGCATCAGCATCGACAGGCCTGCCAAAGATAACTTTCCCACTGTGCAGAAAAAACACAGAAAATCCCACATAAATCGTGGAAATTAATGGAATTGACTGTTTGAGTAGCGAGGTAGTATGTTTATGTCGCTATTTGCACGATTAATGTGGACTTTTCTGCGTTTTTCTGCACAGTGGGAAAGCTTTGTTTGGTAGGCCTGATCGACGTACGCAATTGGGATACGAGGACATGTGTCTTCCAAGTCACCCGATCCCGTTACTTGATCATGTTAGTACGACAAGCACGGGTTACTGAAGACCAGTTCTAATAAATAGTAAAGAATACCAGTGTGTATAATGGAGGAAGGTCGAATCTTCACTGGTACGATGCGTGTAAACAGAGTATATGCTGCCTTTATTCTGACAGGTGTCTACAACCACGGCAACTTGACTGGAATCACCTCACAGGGCGGCTACTTCCGGGTGATAAACATGCTCTCGGAAATTGACGAGCCCGTGAGTTTCACACTGGACATAGAATGTTGTGCATTCACAAAGCGTTCGTAAGTCAGTGATATAATGTAGAGTTACGGTAGGTCGTAACGTTACGAACTCTTTGTGGATCGGGAGCAAAGAATGGCATGCACAAACCGATCCAAGACTGCACTCTTTGACATAGATTTACATTGGCTCAACGCCAAGTGAGTAAGGTTTTACGCCGCTTTTAGCAATATTCCAGCAATATCCTGGTGATAACTCCTAACTCCCAAGTTTCGCACCTCATGGTTTGGCTGAATCTCACACTGACCGATGCTGAATTTAGGAAGAGAGATACTGGGTTGTAGACGTTTAGGGTGGAAAACTATGAGTTCAGTTTTATCATCATTCATTTTGAGGTAACAACATCATACGTATCTGTAGACAGAAGTACGGGAGTTCTGTACGTGTGACCCAATATACTGACAGGTTCTCTGACGTCATCAGATGTTGTGTACTTTGTTGTAGGGGGAGTACTACCTAGACAGAAGTACGGGGATTCTGTACGCGTGGCCCAGTACACCGACAGGTTCTCTGACGTCATCAGATGTTGTGTACTTTGTTGTAGGGGGAGTACTACCTCGACAGAAGAACGGGGATTCTGTACGCGTGGCCCAATACACCGACAGGTTCTCTGACGTCATCAGATGTTGTGTATGCGTCAATGGTTGATGACTGTATCGAGTAGGTTTGGTTTGGTTTGGTTTGGTTTGGTTGTTGTTTAACGCCACACTCAGCATTATTCCAGCTATATGTCGGGGGTCTGTAAATATTCGAGTCTGGACCAGACAATCCAGTGATCAACATGGAACTGTCAACAACCTGACGAGTTCATGCCCTAAGTTCCTTGAAAAGTGATTTTTTTAAAGTTTGTTTTTTACACAGAAAAACTGTATCGATTTGTATGTCATAAATGTTTGCCAGACTGGATCCCGGCGTGTCCAACCTGAGGTTTGAGGACTTTACCCTGGAAGTCTGTCGAAAAATGGGAATCAACGCCAAAAACGTGTCCAATGTAGAACTACGACAACTTGAGTTGAAGAACACAGGTAACGATTTGGCAATTGATTCAATGACGCCCAATGAAATTAGTATTTTAGAAGTATAATATATTTTCCGTTTTCATGTTATACCAGAACATAGGCTTCACACATTGTTCAGCACGAGAAATCAGAATAGGATCTTCGGCGTGACGCACGAAAGATTAGTCCACACTTATATCTTATCTGCATACGTTTCAAGTACATGCAGATGGGCGCAATGCAAAGTATTCCTACACCTTCCCACAGTCTCGCTTTCCCTCATGACTTATAACACCTTCACTCATTCTACTTTTACTTTCACTCATTCTTACAATTTCGTCTTCATTCGATCATTCATTCATTCATTCATTCATTCATTCATTCATTCATTGAGCTGACGAATACAGGTAACTCACTGCCAGTCCGCTGAAGGCAGGGCGAGGGAATTTGAGTGACTGTGACTGGTAGTTGTCCTGAGTAAATGAAGGTCCGGGGTAGAATATTGATCTTCAGTAACCCATGCTTGACGTAAGAGGCGACTAACGGGATCGGGTGGTCAGGCTCGCTGACATGGTTGACACATGCCATCGGTTCCAATAGCGCAGATCGATGCTCATGCTGTTGATCACTGGATTATCTGGTCCAGACTCGATTATTTACAGACCACCGCCATACAGCTGGAATATTGCCGAGTGCGGCGTAAAACTCACTCACACCTGAGTAAAGGTTTGTTGGCCATTAAACTGGGCTTTACACATTGCCCTCTGTAGAGTAGACTGTCTCTTAGAGGATATACAGAAGTGAGTCCAAATCCAGCTTAGAGTGCAAGTCAGATCTAGGCAACATTAAGAACCTGTGCTGGTCTCTTTTTTAAAAAAATTAGTGGACTTTATTTCTGGGACTAAATTTCCACACGTGGAACATCCAATCCTGAGTTTCATCGCAATGAGCGCATAATACACAACATCTTCACAAAGTAATTTGGACCGAGACCATGGATACTTCACACCTTCATCCCTTCTTCATCCGCCCCACAGTCACGCCACTACATACTTCTTTGGTAACCCCAGGGGCAGACTCAGGATTCTGGAGAAGGGGGGTGCACATAAATCATGAAGTTCAAAGGTTAGGGGGAAATGCTCCTCAGGGAAAACTTTTGCGGGAGAGAAGGGGGAGGGGTGTGCACAACCCGCCTCTGGATCCACCCCTGAGCCCCTTCGGTTTTTTAAACATTTGTTCCCCTTATATTTCTCTCTCTTTCTTTATATGTAGTCATTTACCAAAGAACATGTATTCCAGGTTCCTACGTGTTCCACTGTGGAGGAGACTGTCGGTCCGTCACTGTGTCCAGGTGTGAAATACACGATGGAGATGGAGGCATTGAAATAATTGGTAATCATTATTATGGCTAGTATTCATTTCATACACAAGAATGTTGCGTTGTGAGTTTAGTTTGTCTAACCAGCTGATGGTGCATTATCGATCGATATGAATTGTGAATTACAACAGTTTATTTTCAAGTTAAAACAACGAATTTCCTATACATACATTGCTAGCTGAAATATAGTTCTTGAGGCGGTGACCGTGTCAACCTTGTTCAAGACATCGAATGATTTGAATTGTAAATTACAAAGGTATGTTATAACTTAAAATAAGGCAAACTAATTTCCTACACATCAACCATACACTGTAAGATGACACGTATTTCTTAAGGCGGTGACCGTGTCAACCTCATCAGCTCCAGTAACGTGGTTGAAGACAACCATATCTGGAGGTACAGTCGGGAGGGAGCGGTTGGACAGAACGCAGTGCACATTGATGGTGTCAACAACCTCATACGCTACAACCACATCCACGACGGACAATATGCTGCCATCAGGTTCGACGTATGTCCTTCCTGAATGTTTGTTCGAGAAAGAAAATCATTTGCTGTGAAAGATATAATGAAGAATTGTACGATTGAAATATGTTTTGGAAATGGAAACTAAATGCCAATATTACAATAACATACATGCTTCATACTGAACGGTTTGATAAGTGTATTATTCCCTTGTATACGTGTGCAATTACATCGTCGAAACGTTCATGAAGTCACTTACGACGTGGTTCCAAAAGTAGAATGACTACACGGATGACAATACGATCAACAGAACCCCAAGTTTAACATTTCTTTTTACAAAAACGTAATCTATAGAGTATATATGGAATTGTCTGAAATTCTTGGAAACAATAATTTCAAGTGAATCAATCTTGATTCTTATATCCGAATATGCACTGCCTACTAGCACTGTCTACAACTAATATGCACTGTACTGCCTCACTCCTGTCCTGGTCTACAGGGTAACGACCACGTGATGGAGTATAATCACGTCCACCACAACTGCCTCAATGCCAGCGACTGTGGTGCTCTCCATGCTACAAGGAGTTGGTTCTTTGTAAGTCATCATCTTCCGTGCATGTCATCCCTGTTATCTTTACTCTGGATAATATTGCACAAAAGTTTATTTAGGTTTGACTGGTTTTCCCTTACACCAAATCGCTTGGTGTGACTTGGTCAATGTCCTGGTGTTACACACAAGTGATGGTTCTTAAAGCAGACATTGTCACTTTTCGCTCGCCTTTCGTTCTGACAAAACGTACCAACACGTCGCTGCTGCGAATAGTAATAACTGGCTGCATCCCTTGTAATTGGTCTTTCGTCTCGGCTCTCGAACAGTTTAGATGTCTGAAAATTGTTCTAGCTTCTAGGATTTCTCATTCCAGGGCTGCTAGTTCATAGTTTCATTATTATTTAATCATTTTCGGATGAGATTTCATTTTCTAGTTACGTTGCCAAAAAAGGGCTTCATTGTTCAATTAAAGCATTTTGTTTAAAAAAAAATCATTTTCAGCTAACAGATGGTCAGTGTACTATTGCGTTCAGTTCATAGGATTTTTTTCGATTTGCAATCGTTTTTTGTGTACCTGTTGGTTGTAAATTTATCTTGCTGAGCAAGTAAGATTCTTACATGTAAAAAGCATTTTATTGTGGACGACAAGAAGCGTGTGTTACATTACCGACGGCTGCATTCAGCATTAGTTAGTGCAGCCAAAGAAGGTTGGGAATGTCTGAGGTTTCAGTTTTCTTTGAGATCGCAGAGTATCAAACAGTCCGATTTACCTGACCAGGTACCAAAGTGTGTGAAGTTTTCTGTGGCTATTGGTCTTATCACTTGTGACTTCATCTATACAACAAACCTTTCGGAAAGAGGTACATTACACTGTAAACAATGGACAGTATGCCTCTGTTATACACTCTCAATATACGCGGCAAGTAATGCTTTTCAGCGCAAGGTCATATCGGTTTATCCCAATATTCGGAGTGTAGCAACTGATCGACAGATCAAGCACAAAACCATCACACCACTCGTTGGCGAAATACAGACCCCCACCTGTCTGTATCATGTGGACCCACATGACCAGCACAGACACACCGGGAGGGAAACTTAACCATTTTGTGGCCAGTATTGAAACTGGCGAGATGGAAATGGAGTGTGCTTTGCCAGATACTTGTGCAAAAGCAGAGTTTACCGAAGTGAAAACTAATCTGGGTAACATAGACTCAGCTGATAGTGTATGGAAAAAAACACCCCAAAAAGGTTCCACGATGTCCGGTTTCTCACAATCCGATACCAGTTATATGAAGGACAGCAGCAGTGAACCAGCTATCAAGAAAGCCGAAAATATCTGTGCCTGGCATTGATCCAGTTGAGACGAAGAGCACGTATGTAAGGTATGACGGCGTTGACGTTGGGGATATTGTTTCGCAAACAAGAGCTCAATCACTACACAAACGTCTTGTATTCCAGGACAGCTGGATGGATAAATACAGTTGGCTTGTGTACAGTCCAACAACGGGTGGAGGTTTATGTAAAATGTGTGTTCCGTTTCCGAACCTGGGTGATGAGCGAAAGTGCGTAGGGTCTTTAGTAAAGTATCCTTTGACAAATTTGTCTAAAGCAACTGGGAAAAATGCTGCAATTGAGATTCACCAGAATACATTTTTTGACACACGAATGTGTGTCGTTACCTTATCGAATATCTCAACAGAATAAGGAAATGTACGACTTGAACTGCAACATTCTGAAACATATAGTTGACACGGTGATACTCTGTGGCAGACAAGGTTGTCTCTGAGGGGGCACAGAAATGACAGGACATCAGAACAACCAAACAAGGAAAATATGCTGGCCATATTGAATTTACTGACAAATATAGATGATTACGTCATCAATTAGAGTTTGGCAGAAGAAACGCCCAATAACCCAGCAAAACAGTTCAAAATGAATTCATTGACGTAGTTGGTGACCACATTCGCTCAGAGGTGGTCCCTCAGCTTCAAACAGAAGGGGCTGTGTTTTCTGTGATTTGCCGATGAAGTCACAGATACGTTTTCCAATGTTGAGGTTCTTGGTCTTTGCTTGAGATATGTTGATCAAAATTCAATGACTATCAAAGAGACATTATTTGATGATGTACATTTAGAAAGAACAACAGGTCAGCAGTATTGCAGAAGCTATCTTAAACCTACTGAAAGACCAAGGCAATCGAAAGCTTGAAAACTGCCGATGAGGATGTTTTCCCAACATTCGTAAGCTGCTCACAATTGCCGATACACATCCAGTTACAAGCACTGAAGCAGAACGGACAGTTTCCAGCCTTACAAGGCTGAAGAGGCACCTAAAGTGTACCACGGGTCAAAAGCGCTTCATTGGACTGACACTGATCCACCTGAACCAGGACAGGAAAATAGTTTCTGATGAGATCGTTCACAAATATGTGAAAAATGCATCCTCCATCAATAGTCCTTGATGACAGTGTTAGTGTAGAGGTAACATACAAGTAAGTAATGGTTAAGGCATCTGACTAACAAACTGTAACACAACCAAATTCTGTATATCTGTGAAGAGTGTCTGTGTGTTTGTAAGGTAGACAATGCCAGGAAAACCGAGTTTATACGAATTGAGGTAACACATGTGCAGATTAATGTCTGCAACCAACCATTGTGTGACACAGCCACAAGAGACGGCGCTGGTTATTCTCTAAGTATACAACAATATGTTCTTTTGAATAGTTAGCACACTACGCGTTGACAGTTCCATCATTTGAATAAAAGAATAAAAGAAACAGTGTTTCTATACGCCCTATGGAATCAGTTTGACAGAAATTTGGACGGGTGATTGTTTCCCTGTCACAGGCGTTTAAAAGACAGTATCATCTGTATAAAGAGGGTTCAGTGAGTGAGTTTAGTTTTACGCCGCTTTTAGCAATATTCCCGCCATGTTACGGTGGGGGACGCTAGAAATGGGCGTCAAACATTGTATCCACGTATGAAAGAGTCTTCAGCATAACGAGCGACCTCTTTAACCACGAGGCTACCTTCTGAGTTTATGTATCCAAAAATGATGCGTATGTGTTTTTTTTTTCCTGATATCAAATAATTAATATGTAAAGCGCATTTATATATTATAATGTTCACCAATGACAGCGAGGCAACATGATCCGATATAACCACATCCACGATACCATCAAGCTAATGCCAGGGTCAGGTGTCAGGGGCGTCATGCTGGACGACGAGTACTCCAGCGTCACCATTGAACACAACGTCTTCTACCACGTGAGTATAATTTAACAACGTTAACGCAGCATGTATGTCTAATTTTACTCTAGCAAAATACGTTTATATAAAATCAACCTTCCCAGCCAAAATGAAGAAGCATAGAAAAACGGATTTGGCCCTTGGGATATCATTTATGTTGTGCGACGTTTCGATGTAGATTCTTGTACTGTTGTCAGTGTGCTTGACAACTGCATAGAAGTGTGTATCGTAACGTTGTACTAAAAATGTCATTGTCATTAGAGTTTCAAATAATTCAATCTGAATCCAGTAGATAATTAAGTGGGCATAAATATCTCATTCAACCATTTACTCATGAGAAGTGGTTGTCACCTGACCACGCGTCGAAGGTGTTCTTGGCGAGATAACGTACATCAAACCATCCTCTGCTTCATTACGGTCTGTGTGCCCCAGTCCCCTTAAAGCAGTCCTGAATCAAGCATTAAGACGTTAGCTCAGAGCCATTTCAAATTGTTTGGGGATGTAACCTTGAGTGGTGCTTCCCCTATTACCATAAGTCCCCTTAAAGCAACCTTGAATCAAGCATTAAGACGTTAGCTCAGAGCAATTTTTAAATTGTGTTGGGATGTTACCTTGAGTGGTGCTTTCCTATTACCATAAGTCACCTTAAGGCAACCTTGAATCAAGCATTAAGACGTTAGCTCAGAGAAATGTTTAAATTGTGTTGGGATGTTACCTTGAGTGGTGCTTTCCTATTACCATAAGTCCCCTTAAAGCAACCTTGAATCAAGCATTAAGACGTTAGCTCAGAGCAATTTTTAAATAGTGTTGGGATGTTACCTTGAGTGGTGCTTTCCTATTACCATAAGTCCCCTTAAGGCAACCTTGAATCAAGCATTAAGACGTTAGCTCAGAGCAATGTTTAAATTGTGTTGGGATGTTACCTTGAGTGGTGCTTTCCTATTACCATAAGTCCCCTTAAAGCAACCTTGAATCAAGCATTAAGACGTTAGCTCAGAGCAATTTTTAAATTGTGTTGGGATGTTACCTTGAGTGGTGCTTTCCTATTACCATAAGTGCCCTTAAGGCAACCTTGAATCAAGCATTAAGACGTTAGCTCAGAGCCATTTCAAATTGTGTTGGGATGTTACCTTGAGTGGTGCTTTCCTATTACCATAAGTGCCCTTAAGGCAACCTTGAATCAAGCATTAAGACGTTAGCTCAGAGCAATTTTTAAATTGTGTTGGGATGTTACCTTGAGTGGTGCTTTCCTATTACCGTAAGTGCCCTTAAAGCAACCTTGAATCAAGCATTAAGACGTTAGCTCAGAGCAATTTCAAATTGTGTTGGGATGTTACCTTGAGTGGTGCTTTCCTATTACCATAAGTCCCCTTAAAGCAACCTTGAATCAAGCATTAAGGCGTTAGGTCAGAATAATTTCAAATTGTTTGGGGGATGTAACGTTGACTGGTGCCTTGCCTCTAAATACCCCCAGCAAGCATGGCCAGGTTAGCTTCACTGCATGAAAAGTATTTTTCCAATCACATTCAAGATCGCGTTACATATACTGAGTCAAAAAAGAAACTTCACATTCTTTCTTCAGGGCACTATAAAATAACAAGAGATGGTAAGATGGTTAAATTGTTATTATTTCATTGCTGAGATCTGTGTGATGTACTCGATACACTGACAGTGCCATAATCAGTTCCATTAGGCTACACCGCCGTTCCAAAACATTGGTATACAGAATGTCAAGTCACAATATGGACGTCGAGAATGGAGATTGGCAGCCCGGAACCGATTTCGAATGGTCTGTGAGGACAGGCGACCTCTAAACATCTCAGCCCTGGTTCGTGTAGCCGGCAGAAATCTGTCACGTAGGTGACGTAGGACGATTTGACGGTCTTCTGCTCGTGACGTCACACGTGGAGGACCCGACCTTGGGCGATCAGAAGTGGTGCCAGTTTGTTGTAGACGACCTCGCAAGTCATACACAGTACGACGGCTGCATCCCATTGCTCTTGCGACGTCAATAACTGATCTTCCAACTTGCAACATGCCAACGGCACGTTCACGTTGCACATTTGACAATCGTGGCATTTCAAGTACCGTTAGAACTGTGGTTTAAAAGTGTTGTTTTCAATTCTTGAGGCCAATACAAACACGTGCATATGAAGAAAACTTCGATGCGAAGATCACGTGATCGAGTGCACGTGCAAGACCTGATTTGGCACTATCGTCATTTGCACTAGGAATGGATGGGTTTGAGTGGGTTTTGCTAACGTTTTTCTAGAGTCGAAAGATAGGGATCCCATTTCGGATACATAGATGTATCATCAGAGAAAAATTATTCATTATTTTTCAAATTACATTTTGTGAAGTTTCTTTTTTGACTCATTATACATTTACCTTTAAGGCGTTTTTCCAAGAGTTTATCTTTGTTGTTGAATGCGCACCCCGTGCAAGCTTTCGTAGAGAGTAGGAAAGCCAATTTAGGAATAAGCTCTGATTACCTCATCTTTCTCATGCTAGCCCAGAGAAATAGGGTTAGGTAATCCGACTGTCCCTTTCCAAAATGTGGAGAGTTGAAGTGATGGATGAATTAGTGTCATCTTAATCTGATGCAGTGAAGCATTCAAATTGTATTGCTGATGCATTCAATTTTAGGCCCTCACTCTGTCACTGAAAGACCACATGATCAACTGAAATGTTACTAACTGTGGTTCACTAAATCATGCACAACCGGTACTGACAAATGGATTGTACATGTACTAATACTGACATTATGTTGGGTGATACATTTACAACTGGAAAATGTAAAATATTAATTCCGCTTTATTTCAGTCTGTTCCATACAAAAGTGCTCTGTGGACAGCAAAATACCCTCAAATGAGTACATTAGAGACTGGGACGCCTGTCTACCCTGAAGGTAACCCGTGTAATATGTGAGTGTGTGAATGGAGTTTTACGCCGCGTTTAGTATAATTCCAGCAATATCACGGCAGGGTACACCACAAATTGAAAAGAATGACATTTTATGTTTTCAAGAAACAAAGACTGACTCACTTGATGACCTACAAATAGATGGCTATCAACTTTTTGTTCAAAATAGTTCTAAAGGTATTAGGCGATCTGGCGGAATAACTCTTGCTTAAAAAATATTATTTCACATTATATATCGCAGTTAAACTCGAATGAATATACACTTTGGTATAAAATATCGAAAGACCTGTTCAATATAGATCAGGATATAGAGATTGGTGTAGTGTGTATCCCACTCGAGGGATCTAAGTATTCCTCCGACGATGTATTTTACTTGCTGGAACAGTCAGTGTTGGAGGCTCTATCACGCACTGACTGTTATGTTGCCCAGGGACTTTAATGCCAGGACTTCAAACATGAATCACTTTACCGTGACAAATTTATCTCAGATGAAGGAGACAGTGTGTGAAATATCTGCAACACCCGTTGGATGCATTTGAAGATTATTGTGATTGTTGGAAAATAACGGTAAGCACACCAAAAACTAAAGTAAAAATTTGGGGGGCGGGGGTGGGGATGCTCCAAAGCAAACGTCTTAAATTATTTTTTTCGATTTGGTTCGCAACCTATTGACATTGTTCATAAGCATGTATACCTAGGCATTAATTTATTAATTTTCACAAAAACAGTAGACTTAATTTTGTAATAGTCTGTTATCAAATTCTAAAAAGGCAATGCGCTCTTAAAGAAATCACATAATTTAAACATAGCATTAGATACTTTTCTTACACTATTCGATGTTCTGGTATTACCCATTGCTTTATACGGGCCCGAAATTTGGTAGTACGAAAATATTGGTAATGTTGAAAAGGTCCATTTAAAATGTTTAAAACTGGTAGCCAATCTACCCCTAATTTCATGGTCTACTGGGAGTTAGTAATAGTGCTATTAATTGGGAACCTTCCTAAGAAAATGATTTCTTTCTGGTATTACCTAGAAACTGTTACCTATCCACTGAAGTTATCCTCATGTCTGTATCAACTTACAAAGTTAGATAACACCCTCAAACCATATCGCAATAATGTGTGGTTAAGTCACATTAAGAACATTCTAAATAACTGTGGTTTAACCTGTATTTACGAAATCCCCAGTTCCGTGTCAAGACACTGGCTAGTCTCTGTAGTAGAATCTACACTAAAAGATCAATTTATACAAAAAATGGAATGAAACTATATATTAGTAGCTCTAAATTGAGTGAGTGAGTGAGTTTGGTTTTACGCCCCTTTTAGCAATATTCCAACAATATCACGGCGGTGGACACCAGAAATGAGCTTCACACATTGTACCCATGTGGGGAATCGGACCCGAGTCTTCGGCGTGACGAGCGAACGCTTTAACCATCAGGCTACCCCACCGCCCTAGTAGCTCTAAAGGCATTCATTATATAAACTACTAAGGATTAGCCAACTTTCGAACCATATTTGCTTCTCCCAAAACAAATTTCAAACCCACTAATGCGGTTTAGAACGTCTCATCATTATTTACCTGTAGAGACCTGTCGCTGTAAAAAAGTATCTAGACAGTTAAGAAAATGCCATTTATGCCCAGGTCTTACGTTTCAGTATGATAACGGTACACCTCACAATGCGTCTTTAACCAGAAACTTTCTTCAAAATGCTGGTGTTGACGTCATGGAGGGGCCATCTCGCTCACTTCACCTCAACCCAATCGAACACACCTAGGATGAACTGAGCAGGCGATTACCCATGCAAAGTTTTCAGCCACAGACGTTGAAGGATCTGGGACATGATTTGGTGAGCCAATGACGTCGACTTCCGATCCGATTCTTTGTTCAAGTCTTGCGGTCAATGAGGAGACGTTATGCAGCGGTACTGGCGTCTGATGAGGATCACACACGATACTGATATTACTTTGATTGCCTTTGACACCAGTGTGATGTCCTTTCCTGACAGGCACTATACATTTACCCTCGTCATCGATTATAAATGCTTTAGAGAACAATATTGTGTGTGTCTTTTTCTGAGTAAATGCTGTCTTAGGTGAAATCATCTATTTTTAGAAAGGCGCGCTTTTGGGGTCGGGTTTTACCAGTGTCAAGTTTCTAATTTTGTTGTATATATAAGGTGATGACCACAGTACTCTAGTAAGACAAGAGGGCCAATACATACACGTGTCTTTTAATCTTTTTTTTTGATGGTTGTAAGAATGTATCGATTTGCCCCAAAGTAGATGCTTTTGGTAACTGAATCTCCCCTCTCACGGGGATTCTCTTTCCGGTTAATGGGAACGGTTTGTTCCTATCCAAATTACGTTTATTCAGAGACTAGGAGTAGTCTGTGCCATGGCGTGTCAGCTTGCTGTAAGAGGTCGGTCCAAAGAGACCTAAATCTTAGACGTTTGTTACTTTGGTGAGTGAGTGAGTGAGTATGGAGTTGACAAGTTATTAATAAATCAGGGCAAACGAGGATTCGAGCCCATGACCAGAAGTTTCTGACGAACCCAAAGGTCACTACTGTGCAGTGATGTTGTGCCCTCAGGTGAAAAGGCACGCGAAAGGACAGTGAATCTTTACAATAGTACGAAATGTCGCATACTTTCTTCACATGCGCACAGTTATTAATATGATAACGAGCTACCGCGACTAAAAACAAGGTAATGCCTCAAAGGCAATGAAGGGTTAGACCATACAATAACATTAACTTACGACTATCTTAGCACTAAGAGAGCTTCGAAAATCTAGGCCCATATCTGTGGACAAAATGTACTTGCGAAGTGCATGCACGGTCGTTGGTTAATTGAAACATCGATAGATATATAGGTGAAAAGTAGAAGCATTAATGTTACAAATGAAGTTTTTTTATTTGCATATGATCAAAGAAACTCAATTTACATTTCCAATAAACAATCCTGGCAGATTTAAGTAGCTAAAATGATTCACAATGAAAGAAGAAAAGTAAACAAAAAAACATATGAAAATTAGCATTTTTATTATCTTACTCTTTTGGATGCCATCATCCGATTGTAATGTTTCAACGAGTAATAGGTTTTGTGTTTATCATATCTGTATATAGTGTATATAGGACAAACATTTCCTGACTCTACAAGGAGCATTAAGTCAAAGAAATGTGATTGTAACCAAGGGTTTAGTGTCACTTGCAACGGTCGGCAGGTTCTTTCCACCCAGTGTCATCCGTTTTAGTCCTCTGGTAAAAAAGAGAATTAGCGACATCATTATAAAACACAAAAGTTCCTTCAGCAGTTGGCGCTATTCCCAATTAATAAATGGGTATGTACAAAGTGAAAAAAGATGCATTTTGATGAGGTTAACTTATATACCCCAATTAAGTCATTTCATTTGGTCAGAAATAGTCACTGGCACATGTTACTGACACTAGACATTTAGCTTCAAAGGGCTATTTTCGCTCCTCCTTTAAAGGATGGGTTTTTCATTCATTGTCTCAACCTTAATTGTGACCTAAAAAAACGCATGGTGATTCTTGGTTATAGCAGTCCCTGACCGCCTAAAGCATGCAGGACGAATTGACAAAGCGAATCGTATGTTCAGATCAGGGGCGGTATTCTTAAAAGCAATAAAAACTGAAGTTTTAAGAAAAGCAAGATTTATGGATGTCAACACTTCTTAATTGTGAGGGGCGGTGGGGTAGCCTAATGGTTAAAGCGTTGGCTCGTCACGCCGAAGACCCGGGTTCGAATCCCCACATGGGTACAATGTGTGAAGCCCATTTCTGGTGTCCCCCGCCGTGATGTTGCTGGAATATTGCTAAAAGCGGCATAAAACCAAACTCAGTCAGTCAGTCAGTCTTTATTGTGAATAACACGACGTTTCGGAGTGTATGCTTGCTCCTTCATCAGGTGAAGTTTTGACTTCAGATTTATGATTTTTCCTGGTCATATTCACAAAAAAGTATTAGACTTAAGTTTGTGTAATGTTCTACTGAAATCCTAAGCCTGATGTTGGCTAGGCTTAACTCTACATGTGTAACCTAAGTCAGTTGACAAAAATAGCCGCTAGACATGCCAATAGGAGAATTTACCGTCCAAGAAGTAACCGTTGTGAAGACTTAAGTGATGAAGAACTCATTAAACGGTATCGTTTAGACAGGGGCGGCATACAGTTTGTAATTGATTTGGTCTCGAATGCCATTCAGCCTAACACAGCAAGAAATCATGCAGTCAATGCCACTGTGAAACCACTTTTGACATTGCGCTTCCTAGCAATAGGAAAATTCCAGCTATGTAATGCTGATGACCATGGAGTAAGTCAGCCTACTGTGTCCCGTGCTGTACACGAGACTCATAACACCGGATTCTCACCAGATTTGTTCGCTTTCCGACACAAGCAAACGAGATCCGCAGGAATCAAATGGCGTTCTATCAGGAGTTATTGGTGTTGTTGACTGCACTCATGTGCAGATACAGGCTCCTCGTGTCAACGAACATGTCTATGTAAATAGACATCACTACCACAGTATCAACACACAGGTAGGGGCCTATCATTCTAATCACACGTCAATTCTTATGAGTTTATCAAATTGCTTCAAATAAAACAGCTGTCTTCATTACTTTATGTAATAGTTTTTCAAGCTGCCGTGTTGGTATATATCGTTTATCCTTACCGTAGAACATTTTATTTAGGAGATAAACGTCCTTTGTTTGGAACTTCGGCTTCAAATGAAATTTAGAGTCTATCAACTCGGTCTAACATTCATCTAATTTCCAAACACAGTACGTCTATCTCCATTCTACTATAACCGATTTAAAAATCGAACTTCCTCGTCCTGCGGAAGATACTGCGTGATCCGGCATTGGACGAGAGGCGAATGTAACTGTGAAGAGAGTGGTAGGTGCCGTTCGTATGTTTATAACACTGCAATATACAAATATGCTGTCCAAAGAAAACAAACTACTGTTTATTCAGTGCATTAATGTAACACCTAAGAACTTGTTTTTTTAATCGTTTTTATAAACTCCACACGACCGAAACCAGCCTATTGTTTTGTGTGCCGTGTTACTGTACCCCCCTGGCCACACTATAATGGAATCGTCTGACCTACTTCTTGGAAGTAGACAGTTACAACAGATTGAAACGGCGGACAAGCCAGTGTTTACGTTTTGCGAAAGGTTGAAATTTGAAGTGACAGTGGAAAATACTAGACTGACTGTCGAATCTGAACCCTGCAGAATCGAAGAACAGATTCTTTTCTGATCGACCTACGACCTGTAACTCATGAAAGACATTTATTTTTCCCTAATGTGTGTATGCTGAATAACAGAGTTTGTGCCATTTTAGATAAGGGTTGCCGTCGGGAGGTTCTTCAAAGAGGAACGAAAGCCTGTCTACAGATGACCGAACTTTGCAATGTTTCAATTTGTGCCTGAGCTGGGTGGCCTCAAAGACGGATGAGATGCCCAGTTCTGTCTGGTTGTAGAGGGTATTTTTAGACTGACTGGTTTACTGACATATGATACAAAGCTCAAATGATAAACCTTGGCCTGTGAATAGAAACAAACCTACACCAGTGCTAGTATATACCGCCACTGATGACCTCTCCTGGTACACACACACTGCACCTTTTGTATAAAAAATTACTAGCAGTGCGTCAACTAACAAAATCCTCCAGCACAAAGATTCCTAAAACCAAACATGTGATAGCAAAGTCTTTTAGTACAGCCTCGATCCTTCAGTCATAGCACATAACATGGCTTGTATGCATATATTTCCACTTTCGCCTTCATCTTCATACTATGTATTTGACACATTATCGGATAGGATACTCACCTGTTCCTGTGATTTCCTGAACTGTTCTGTGGGTAATTGTTGCTAAACTCATTAATCAAACTCACTACATGAATGAAAGCAGTTTCATTTGACATGCATGTGAAGCAGTATAAAAGCATTCGTGTGGCATACATGTAAAAATGCCTATCGCTTCCTGTCACACTCATTAACCTTTGAAGTAATTATGCGCTTAATATGCGATTTTTGTGATCTAAACAGTTTGCCGGGAATATAATTCTGTCAACAAAAGGAAAAGATTCAGCCTTGCTTTGCATTTTGAGCAAAAATGCTTGTAAAAAGTAGCTCTTCACGCAAATATTGAAAGTCGCTCCATAAGGGAGATATTTGCAAACATACGAAATTTTTCCTTCAGCATTTCCATGAAATCCAACATTTTGAAATCCTGTGGTACCATTATTAATCAATATATTGTAAACTGAGTTCATTGTATGGATGGAGAATGATAAATAAAACACTTTTAAAAAAAAATGAATTTTGCACTCATTGACTGTTGAACCCAATATTTGACCTAATTAGGCATTTTTGAGCTGAGCAAACAACAGATTCGTATTCAGCACGAAAAACTACCCCAAAAATGTTGTTTGCTTGCTTTTACTCAAAAAATGCCTCGTGCATTTACATTTCTGAGAAATTTGACTAGTCTATAATACTGCATTGATATGAAGCAAGTCTACAAGTAATAACAAACGTACCGAGGAGCGGCGGTGTAGCACAAAAACAAAACATCTATGGTATCAAGAGGATATATGATCTTTCCACAGTCAGACAGACTCACAAGTCCCCAGTCCCCTGCTCACCCTGTTGCATGTGCCGGAAGTCTACACGTAATAACAAACGTACCGAGGAGCGGCGGTGTAGCACAAAAACAAAACATCTATGGTATCAAGAGGATATATGATCTTTCCACAGTCAGACAGACTCACAAGTCCCCAGCTCACCCTGTTGCATGTGCCGGAACCGTCGCCCCAGCAACGAAGACACCACAGACGCCATACTTCTCAGACGGCTCTGGGCCAAATACAATATACCCCAACATCCCCAAACAAGGTACTTCTGAAGACCATATGTTTTCTTGGATACATATCTGATAATTGACTGATACTTGTAAGCCATGACTATTAAACGATAATCGATCAAAAGTTGATGGTTAGTTTAAGAAGACCATATGTTTTCTTGGACAAATATCTGATAATTGACTGATACTTGCAAGTCATGACTATTAAACGATAATCGATCAAAAGTTGATGGTTAGTTTAAGAAGACCATATGTTTTCTTGGATAAGTATCTGATACTTGACTGATACTTGTAAGTCATGACTATTAAACGATAATCGATCAAAAGTTGATGGTTGGTTTAATTGGAATCCATAATAGACAAACTTTATGGACTTTATCTCTAACTTGAGAGGCAGGATTATGATTATCAAATCACAGATTATCCCCCTTTTTACACACCTGTTTATGGCGCTTCCCAACCCAGCTGAACATTTCTGTACACGTTTGAACTCTATCCCTTTTAAGTTTACTTGGGGTGGTAAACGCGATAAGATCAAAAGGAATATGTTAATAAATGACTATGCAAAGGGGGGTCTGAAAATGATAGATATCATATCTTTCTTCAACTATCTGAAGATCAAATGGATCAAAAGACTATTCACAGCAACAGGATTATGACAGCACATAGCATTTGAAACATTATCGCCTTTTGGGGACATTGATCTATTTAACTTTCAAGGAGAAAAACTACTATTATACTCCAAAAACATTAAAAACTACTTTTGGAAAGATGTTTTAGTATGTTACTCTTGTATTAATAGAAACCATATTGAAAACATCGGAGACTTTATTTGTCTACCAATTTTAAACTTTGTACAATTTGGTGACATAGGCTTGTTTGTCTCGTGGTATAGAAAAGGAATGAAAATATGTAGGACATCTTATCAATTACAGGCGATTTTAAACCTTTTGAAATACTAAAAGAAGATTTTAATCTCCATGAAACATACCTTCTATACTTCTCTATCTTCTCAAGGCTACACCTATTGTTGATGAATTAGTTACAAGAAACCGTACTATTATTAAACAAATATGTAACTCGGCTGATTGTAAATTTGTTTACTCACAGCTGTGTGACAATCATGGAATATCATTAGATAATCTTCAACATAGATGGGAATCCAAGCTTAATACTACTCTATCAGAGAATTATCTCACTGACTGTTTTGCAATGATAAATACTACTACTATAGAAAATAAGGCTAGGAACTTCCAGTTTAATGCATAGAATAGTTTCAACAAAGTCATTTCTATGTAAAATAGGTATTAATCACGATAATCTTTGTACTTTGTGTGGCTGAGAAACCCTTGAGCACTTATTCTTTTCATGTGAGAAAACTAAACATCTAATCTGTCAGTTTACAAGCTGGTACAATTCAAAGACTGGCGCTCTGTACTCGCCTCAATATCGATCTTACTAAGTTTCTACTGGGGTACCCTGAAGCAGGTGTATTAGTTAATCATATTTTCATTATCACAAAGTAAGATATACCTCCGCAGATTTAAATTTGTATCAACTCTTCTACCTCATAAAAAAACACTACCATTCGGAAAAATATTTGTTCGGGGAACACCACTCTGTCTTCAAAGCAAAATGGTTATGTCTCTTTTCAAGACGACTAAATTTTAGATTAGCATGGTGAGTTTCTCTCTTCTGCGCCATTACCTCTCATTTTCCCTTACCTCTCACTTCCCCTTACCTCTCTCTTCCCCTTATCTCTCACTTTCCCTTACCCCTCACTTTCCCTTACCCCTCTCTTTCCCTTACCTCTCACTTTCCCTTACCTCTCACTTTCCCTTACCTCTCACTTTTCCTTACCTCTCTCTTTCCCTTACCTCTCTCTTTCCCTTACCTCTTACTTTCCTCTACCTCTCACTTTCCTTTACCTATCTCTTTCCCTTACCTCTCACTTTCACTTACCTCTTTCTCTCTCTTTCCCTTACCTCTCTTTCCTTACTCTCTCTTCCCTTTATCGCTCACTCTTTCCTTTTACCTCTCTCTTTCCCTTACCTCTCACTTTCACTTACCTCTCCCTTTCCCATACCTCTCTCTTTCCCTTACCTCTCACTTTCCCTTACCTCTCACTTTCCTCTACCTCTCACTTTCCCTAACATCTCACCTTCCCTTACCTCTCACTTTCCCCTTACCTCTCACTTTCCCTTACCTCTCACTTTCCCTTACCTCTCTCTTTTACCTTACCTTTCCCTTACCTCTCACTTTCCTTTACCTCTCACTTTCCCTTACCTCTCTCTTTCCTTTACCTCTCACTTTCCCTTACCTCTCACTTTCCTTTACCTCTCACTTTTACCTCTCACTTTCCTTAACCTCTCTTTCTCTTACTTCTCACTTTCCCTTACCTCTCACTTTCCTTTACCTCTCACTTTCCCTTACCTCTGACTTTCCCTTACCTCGATCTTTCCCTTAACTCTCACTTCCCTTTATCTCTCACTTTCCCTTACTTCTCACCTTCCTTTACCTCTCTCTCTCCCTTACCTCCCCCTTTCCCTTACCTCTCACTTTCCCTACCTCTCTCTTCCCCTTACCTCTCACTTTCCCTTACCTCTCACTTTCCCTTACCTCTCATTGTTCCTTACCTCTCTCTTTCCCTTACCTCTCTCTTTCCCTTACCTCTCCCTTTCCCTTACCTCCTCACTTCTCCCTACCTCTCTCTTCCCCTTACCTCTCTCACTTTCCCCTTACCTCCCTCACTTTGCCTTTACCTCTCTTTCCTTTACCTCTCACTTTCTCCTTTACCTCTCTCTTTCCCTTACCTCTCACTTTCCCTTACCTCTCACTTTCCTTTACCTCTCACTTTCCCTTACCTCTGACTTTCCCTTACCTCGATCTTTCCCCTTACCTCTCACTTCCCTTTATCTCTCACTCTCCCTTACCTCCCTCACTTTCCCTTTACCTCTCTCTTCCCTACCTCCTCACTCTCCCTACCTCTCTCCCCCTTACCTCTCACTTTCCCTTACCTCTCCTTTCCCCCACCCTCATTGCTCCCCACCTCTCTCTTTCCCTTACCCTCTCTTTCCCTACCTCTCTTTCCCTTACCCCTCTCACTTTCCCTCCCCACCTCCTCACTTCCCTTACCTCTCACTTTCCCTTACCTCCTCCCTTACCTCCCTTTCCCTTACCTCTCACTTTCCCTTACCTCTCACTTTCCTTTACCTCTCTCTTTCCCTTACCTCTCTCTTTCCCTTACCTCTCACTTTCCCTTACCTCTCTCTTTCCCTTACCTCTCACTTTCCTTTACCTCTCACTTTCCCTTACCTCTAATTAATAACGGCATCAATGATTCATCAACTGTAACATATGTTATGTTATCTGTAAAATATCATGTACCGTTATTAGTCATAAATAAAATTAAATAAAAAACAAAAAAAGCAACCAAAAAAACCTTTATGGATAACAACTTGCTTATGTTGTGAGAGCGACGTTTCGATTCTTGCACCGTTGTCAAGCAGGAATGTGACATAAAGAGAAGCTGATGTGTATATGCTGAGTGTAACAAAGTAAACAACATAATTAACATAATTGGAAGTAAGCTGATAAAGCCAGCGATTTGACGGAGGGAAAGACGTAGAAGTCAGAGATGTCCAAGGTGCATCTTATGGTGAGAAGAAGAACCTCACTTTTGTCATAGTATATTACTATTCTATATCCATGTGTTTTTGTGTGTCTGTTCATGTGGGGCATGAGCATTAGGAAGGTGTGTAGAGCGTGATAACGAAAATAGCAGAGTGTGATTGAACGATGTGTGTGAATGCATAATTGCGTGAGCGGGTGGGTGAGTGCATAATTGTGTGATTGCGTGTGAGTGTGCATGCTTGCGTCAATGTGGATGATAGGTGCGGTTGCACGTGCTTTTATAACCCTAAAATATCATGTTATTAATCAGGAATGTATGTAATGATGTGTTTTATTTGCATCGTCTTTTTTTATTGTATTACTGTCATAATGCTTGTGTTTTTAGTGTCTCATGAGCCAAATGACCGGGTGCTTTTTATGTTTTAACTATGTCTGTAATGTAACGCACTGTATTTTATTGCAAAAGCACGTGACACTTGAATAAACATCTTCTCTCTTTCTCTCATCTCTGTACAAATGAAAGGGGTAGTTTAAACAGGAGGAGATGTTTATACAGTGGACTGAGCTTGGTATAGGAGTGCATCGTAAGCGGATGGAATGAAATATTCTTGATCTCAGTTGATGGTGGGCTTTTATTGCTGATGAAGGTTGTTGGCTAACTATCACTGGATCTTCATGGGTCTTTAGTTTGGGTGGAGGCCAATAGATAAGGGTGTCAATAAGAGGGTTGAATCTATTCAGGTTGCTGGCTGATCATCACCGGATCTTCATGGGTCTTTAGTTTGGGTGTAGGCCAATAGATAAGGGTGTCAATAAGAGGGTTGAATCTATTCAGGCTGTCGGCTAACTATCACCGGATCTTCATGGGTCTTTAGTTTGGCTGGAGGCCAGTAGATCAGGATGTCAATAAGAGGGTTGAATCTATTCAGGCTGTTAACTAACTATCACCGGATCATCACGGGTCTTTAGTTTGGGTGGAGGCCAGTAGATCAGGATGTCAATAAGAGGGTTGAATGTATACAGGTTGCTGGCTGATCATCACCGGATCTTCATGGGTCTTTAGTTTGGCTGGAGGCCAATAGATGAGGATGTCAATTAGAGGGTTGAATCTATTCAGGCTGTTGGCTAAGTATCACCGGATCATCACGGGTCTTTAGTTTGGGTGGAGGCCAGTATAAGGATGTCAATAAGAGGGTTGAATCTATCCAGGTTGCTGGCTGATCATCACCGGGTGGCCCCTCCACCCCGTCAACGGCACACAGCGGGACGTGTGGGGGAGCAGCTTGAGCAGACTGGGGTGAAGGAGGAGAACTGTCTGAAGAGGGCAGCAAAGGAGTGGAGGTACTGTGGCTCACCTAACAAGGAAACTGTGACTGCAGTCTTCGGTCCAACAAGTTTGAGTTACTGTTGAATATACTTTTCCTAGTTCGCAGGACACAAATAGTCAGAGGAAGAAGTGAGTGAGTTTAGTTTTACGCCGCTTTCAGCAATATTCCCGCAATATCACCTCGGGGAAAACCATGAATGGGCTTCACACATTTTATACATGTTGGGAATCAAACCCGGGTCTTCGGCGTGACGAGCGAAAGCTTTAACTACGTCAGTTGTTTGGAATAAATATATTGGTAGCTTCCTAGGGGACTGATAGTTAGTATTACTGACAGAAATACGTTATATACTTTTAGGGAACTGTGGTGAGATATAGTGTCTTTAAGTCCTTCGCAATCGCTGTATATAGAATAAGCAATGTTTTGGTGGTTTTTCACATAGGTGCAATGACCATAGCATGGAAAACACTGTTACTACGCCGACTATGGCTGTCCCAAACACGGCAAGGCCACCCCCGGAAGGCTGGAGATTGATCGGTATGGCGAGACCCACGGGGCACTGACGGAGGAGGGGAAGTGTCTGGGTAGAGCGTCTGGGGAGTTTGAGTATTGTGGATCCGACCCTGCACATCCGGTTACAAGCATCTACGGTCCAACAGGTGACAACAGACTAGTTAGATCTCTCCTAATAACCTTGATAATTATTAATTACACTGGTAATATTTTCAAATTATCAACCAACATACGCACAAATTAATCAGGTGACATGTCGCAAACAGTCATTGAATGTCGTTACAAACTATAGATAACTGGTTATCCCGAAAAATATTTCCTTTCTTCACACCAAACAGTTTTTCTGTAAAGTTAATATTTTAACTTGAAATCGACACGGCATGTGATGCACATCAATTCACAGGCGGCATAAGACATGCTGGAGGCGGGTGCTGGATCAAGATCTCGTCCTGTCCCTCTAACACCAACCTGACTGGCTTCTTCTACGACGCCTGGGGTGCAACCAACCTTGACACAGGTAATGCAGTGAGTGAGTGAGTGAGTGAGTGGATACATTTGAGATCTCCCACTGTCTTCCTAATGAATTTTTTACATTTTGTGTTGCTGTTGGGGACAACAGCCCCAAGGGAGGGGACGACGTTTTTAGCTCCAGTTACTAAAGTTAAGATATGGCAATCAAAAGTGTAATTTGCATTGATTTTTGTCAAATATGGAAAGGTTGTTTGTTGTTTAACGTCGCACACAGCAATAGTGCAGTTAAATGGCGACGGTCCATAAATAATCGAGTCTGGACCAGACAATCAAATGATAAACGGCATGAGCATCGGTCTACGCAAGTGGGATACGATGACATGTGTCAACAAAGTCAGCGATCCTGACCACCCGATCCCGTTAGTTGCCTCTTACGACGAGCATGGGTTGCTGACGACGAACTCTTACCCGGATCTTCACGGGAAAGGCGCCTCTTACGACAAGCATGGGTTGCTGAAGATCAATTCTAACAAGGATCTCCACGGGTCTCAAATATGGAAAGAGTTTTGACGTTGTTATTTCTATGTAGCATTAAACTGTAAAAAATAACAGAAAATACATGTTCATTGAGTAGGTTTTCTAAAGAAGTTATTGGATTCGTTCTCAGATAAAGAACATGTTTAACATTTACGTATATTTTCGCATTGCTATTAACACATCCTCGTCAAAAGAATTATGATTCATTAATTGTACTTGAATTACCCACAAATAGATTGTTGCATCAGTGATGTAATCATTTCAGATCATGAGCGCAATGAGTGTTTGGCCCGAGTTGACCACTTCTGGCAACGATGTGGGTCCCATCGAGAATTCCCTGTCACAGCCTACTACAAACCGAGGGCAGTGTCTAATACTGTACACTGAATACATATGTATCGTATGAAAATATAAGGGTATAGGACTCGTCTCTATTTGCGCTTAAATATATTAATAAACATCCCAAATATAAACAATATATCATTTTTTCAGATTCTCAGATTCTCTTTCTTGTCTTCAGGCTATAAAAAACCTTTCTTGTAAACATCCACTCTTATTAGAAGTTATTGAATTATATAATGATCTTGCTACTGGTCAATGCGACATTGTCTTTTGTTGGTTACCCAGCACGTTGGTATTTCTGGGAACACAATGGCCAATCTTGCTGCTAAGGCAGCACTCAACAAGTCTGTGACACCACTCCCTATTCCATACTCTGATTACAAAGCTAGCATTAGAACCTACATCCGTGACCTGATGCAGAAAGAGTTGGATACCCAGGTAGGTATCAATAAACTACATGCAATAAAACCTTATATCGGTTACACCTACTTGCGTTGTCAGTCCAGATTTGAAGAGGTCATTATGCGAAGATGTCGCATTGGCCATACTAGCTTACTCACGAATATTTATTGAAAGACGAAGATCCTCCGTTTTGTTTCCCTTGTGATGAAAGAATCACAGTCGAGCATGTCTTGCCTGACTGCATTGAATATTCCATCACAAGGGATAACTATTTCAAAGTAAAAACTATGAAGGATCTTTTTAATAATGTCAGTTCTCATTTAATCATTGTATTTTTAAAAAAATTAGATTTGTTAAGTGATTTGTAAATAGATATGTATTTTATTATTGGTAGTTTGAATTAGTAACTGAGATTGTTAGTGGCTGTACCCTCAAAGGGGGTTGAAGTAGAGTAAAGTTATTGTCCTCCTGCGAGGGTACGTAAGTCCCAAAGCATTTCAAGTCAATTTAAGTGTACCAGGTCGTAGTATGTTTGTGTTTTTAATGTATGGCTAAATCTCAGCATCAACGCCAATGGCTGAAGGGATGGTGTAAATCCAGCTAGGGTCCATGCAGGTAGCAAAAGTAATGTAAGTCCCCATGGGCCCTAGTATGGTGATCTACCTACAGTTGTTTGTGACCTATAGCCTATTTGTATATTGTGTTGTCCCCTGTGGTTAAAATGTTTTAGACTCTATTACTATTTTTACGGGTATATCTGTGATATTCTAGTTGTTTTACTGTCCTTCGTCGGCAGGTTTTATAATATACATATATTTCATTTCAATATCAAATGTTCTCGTCACGATATGGCTGAAATATTGCCTCACTCTAAATGTCGCTAAAAGACATCAAGCTATAGATTGCCAACAACTCAAGGCAGATCACCATACTAGGGACCATGAGGACTTACAGTACATTTGCTACCTGCATGGACCCTAGCTGGATTTACATCATTCCTTCAGCTGCTGGCGATTGTAGGAACATTTTAGCCGAAATTTAAAATAACAAAACTACTACGTGTGAAAATCTGGTAAGCTTAAATTTAATGGGACTTGCGTACCACATGGTGAGGTGAGGTGAGGTGAAATTAGGTTGAACGTCGTGCTTGAGAATATTTCGCTCATATGACGACGTGCATACGTGTGTATGTGTATGTGCGGCTGCTTGTACTACCCCAGACTGAAGCTGGTTTTATAGTGCTAGCCCACTGAGATACCATGCCGCAGTGAAGCATGAATACCCCACTCAGACACATTATACTGACTCTCAGCCGACCAGTCCTTGTTGTACCCATTAATGCCGAGCGCCAGGCAGGGACCAACAAGTACCATATTTTAACGTCTTTTTGGTATGACGCGGTCGGGGATCGAATCCACGACCTTCCGCTCTCCGGGCGGACGCTCTAACCACTACACCACGGAGGCAGTCGCGTACCACATGGACCTAAATAGCCCCTTAGGGGCACAATAATTTTACGGTTCTTCAAGTCGAGAGGGCATTGCCACGAACAATCTCAGTTTATAATCATATCCTACCCTTTATACAATATTTAGCTACCTATGCATCAATAAGCAGGATATAATGTGGAATATTACAGGAAATGCACAAATGATTGTAAGCTGTTAGATTTTCAGTACAGATTTTTTTACAGAATAAGCTAAAGAAAGAACTATTGAATATGAAGCTAGTTGATAATGATACTTGTACTTTTTGTAAAAATACCTCAGAAGACATATTGCATGTATTTTTTACTGTGATTTAGTTAAAAACTTTTGGCGAAATGTAGAACAATTTCTAAATGCCCACCTCCAGTGTGATGTCACATTTACAAAATTCACTATCATGTTTGGAATGTTCTCAAACAATAAAATACTAAACCATATTATACTTCTTGCCGAAAGATTCATTTATGTTTCAAGTATAAAACAACAAACACTTTCCCTTGAGGGATTTCTTAAGTTATTAAAAGATATATATACAACTGAAAAATATATAGCTAGGAAAAACAATAGCTTAGATCCCTTTATAAGGAAATGGAAACATTTATATACCTTACTATGTGCTAAACATTAAATTCTACTTATAATATCAGCTTAGACTTCCAGACCCTACTCACTACAACCATACTATTCAACCTTACCCCTCCAATTTCATATTCCCTCCACAGAAACTTTAATGACATCTTATGTATCTATATAATTGTTGTATTCTCACGATGTTATATTTATATATATGTAAACATGCGTGTACGTATGTGCATATGTAAGACGGCGTAACCCTTTGATGCAATTAGGTCCAAATGATGTAACAACACAATTCGCTGTGACTCCCGAGATTATTCAGAAACGGGAAGTGTTAATCAGTATCTTGTTAATCAGTGAGTGGTACGTACCACTTACATAGAGTAATTAATACATGTAGTGGGCAGTTTGACTGTATAAACAAGCAAGTGTTTACATTTTGTTGATTCGCGGGTATTGACTCCCGAGATTATTCAGAAACGGCAAGTGTCAATCAGTTTCTTGTTAATTAGTGAGTGGCACGTGTCACTTACATAGAGGCGAATCGTTTGATGGCGTGTATCGTTCGAAAGCTCTGAACATCAACAATATCACTGTACTCTTGCCGAGAGTATTTTCACATTTGTAAGAAGCGATTTTATTGGATAAAGATTGGTTTCTAACGACGCTTTTTCACTACACTCTGCTTATAAGGGTCGTGATTGGTCAAAATCAGACACGTGACCTAAGCAGCCAATCATATTATGGAAATGGATACCGTCCTCGTAAACGAAAAGTTTTAGATTAAGACGAAAGTTTTTGGGTAAAATAATGCTATTCTGAACATATTAAGAAAGACATCGCTACCTATACGTAAATCATGGAACGTATTGGACATATCGTGCTAGGTTATGGCCTATGACAAAAATGCTTCACGCATATATTTTCACATTAAGCATCGTGTGAAAGCCGAGATGTAACTTGTCAGTGACTTGACTTACATTGCATGATCGCTCAAAAGAATGGAAATAGTAATTTTATATGTACGTTTGACAACTTTTATGAATGTTATTGTTGATTTCAATTTATTTAATGATTTCCTCGATGTTTGAAACATCGTTACTTTGCTCTTTGACAATGCTATTGTAGACCCGCTGCCGAAGCATAAACAAGAATCGTTGTTTGCAATAACATTGCGAAAAATAGTTTATAATTTTAATTCTGCCGATAACATATGATCAGTTGAAATTTAATAAGAGATTTCAGACATTTTTATTTGATTTAAACAACATGAATGTGCATTCAGACACTGCCTTGTTTCTTATTCAAACATCTTGTTAATGCTAAAGTGACAGTACGACAGCGAACTTCCGTGAGCGCAGGCGTCATAAGCGAACCTAGCTAAACCGGCACTCTGTCAAAACCGGCATTTACTTGGTCCCGACTGATGCCGGTATTGACAGAGTACACTGTATATGTATATATGCATGTGTATGTGTGTATATATGTGTGCGTGTGTGTATATGTATGCAATACTGTCTTTTATGTCTTATATAACCTTGCAAAACATCACTAAAACTACATACATATATATTTGGATGCTGTCCTCTTTGCCATATTTATTTTATGTGAGACTTGAAATGGAATTAAAAAAAAAAAAAAAAAATAATATTAATCATATCCTACCCTTTATAAAATATTTAGCTACCTATGCATCAAAATTACTCAGTTAAATCAGTTTCAATTTAAAAATGGGAAAAAAGAAAATTAAAGCTATTAAAAAGATGCTTCACTGATGAATGATTTGAAATATTGATCGCTTGTGATGGTATCCCTTTCGAGACAGAAATCTACACCTGTAAGCACAATATGCTGTGATTCTCTCATCACAAGGGAAACAGAAAAGAGTATCCTCAGTTTGGGTTTTATATTGCCTGTAATTTATGATACCTACTGCAGTGTCCTATTTCCTTTCGTTTAAATGTTTTATGTAGCATCTAATGAGGGGATTGATATCACTGTATGAGGGAAGAAGTGGTATCACTGTTTTGCAGAGTGCTGCTTTCGCCGCATCATCAGCCATAGTATTACCCAGTATGCCATCTTAGCTGTGCTGACAACGGAACACACCATGGCCCCTAGTATGGTTGCCTTCATGGCCCCTTCAGTTGCTGGTGACCTATAGTCCAATTTTATATTGTACTGTTGTCTCTAGTGATTTGTTTAATTGTAGCATTCTAGTTTTAATTAAGAGCTGAGACAATCTAGTATTTTTACTGTCCTTCAATGACAGGTTTTTACTTTCTAAATTTATTGATTTAAATATTGATATAACTTATATTGTTCTCGTCACGATATGGCTGCAATATTGCAGATGTGACACTCAATGTCAACTCACTCACTCAACAGAAGACAATGTTGTACTTCCAGTATATCCGAGATTAAATGATTATCCGAAGACATGTTTCTAATTGCCTGAAGATCTGGGTGAATTAATATTTAACGTCAAATCGGCAATTTTTCAGCAATATCGTGACGAGGAAAAGAATGACATTATTACTGAATACATTTATACAATAAAACCTGTCGTAAATGGACAGGAAAATAAGTAGAATATACAAGATCCAATATCCAATTAAAACTAGCATGCAAAGCTAAAATACAG